AAAAAAAAAAAAAAAGAATCATTACTTTGAAAATACCCAAAATGGCTCCTTACCCTAATACCTCACTTTCAGAGGGAATAGTGTAAAATAGTGAGAATTCTAAGTCAGAATTTTGGCTCACAGCCATTAGTTATTTCAGATGGAAGAGAAGCAGCATATTAAAAAGTAGATTTATACTGAGTCATCTTTTATTCTAATTTCAAAGTCCTTACCAAAAAAAAAAAAAAAAAAACTCACTGCCATCTAGTTGAGTCCAACACAGAGTGACCCCCATGGGGTTTCCGAGGCAGTAGATTTTTATGGAAGTAGATTGCCCCATCTTCTTTTCACGGAGCAGCTGGTGGGTTTGAACCGCCAACTTTCTGGTTAGCAGTCAAATGCCTTAGGCACTACACCACCACAGCTTCTTAGAGGACAACCCAAACCAAAAACCAACTCCCAGTGAATTGATTCTAACTCATAGCAACCTTATAAGACAGAGTAGACCCACCCCACAAGATTCCCAAGGCTATATGTGATCTTTATTACAGGAGCAGATGGCCACCTTGTCCTCCCACAGAGCAGCTGGTAGGCTCAAATGGCCCACCTTCCCATTAGCAGCCAAGCGTTTAAACATCACGCTGCCAGAGCTCTTTCCCTAGAGTACGTGAGACAAAAATCACAACAAACGAAGACCAACTACCACTGTCAACCACCTGGTGGGGAATCTATGTAGGAGAACCAGGGTAGAGTGGGAGAACAATGTGGATCAAAACTCAAAATCATGAAAAAAAAAAAAAGGGACTAGTTTTGCTGGTCTGATAGAGCCTGGTGGAACCTCTGAGTTTTTAACCTCTAGTTGCCCTTTGGGGCTGGAATCTAATCCACTGCTGTGGCTTCCAGCCAAACAAAAGACAAGCATATGAGCTGAACATTTACATTAGGTAGACACACTTCTTGGAGAGATCAATCATGGGAGAACAGAAGGGCTGTGTATGCACAGGGAGACTGCTGGGGGGGTGGGCAGGACTACATGGGAGGGAAGGACACAGGGAAGAGGTGCCTATGGGGAGGAAGTGGGAGGAGAGCTATTACATTGTGGGAGATTACAGCCAATGTCATGAGACAAAGTGTATGTCAACAACTGTATGGAAGATGAATTTGCTCCACAAACTTTCACCTAAATCACAATAAAATTAAAAAAAAAAAATCACAATCAACGAAACCTGATTTTAATATGTTTACAAGAAAGAAACTATCAAGATGGCTATTTTTAATTTTATATGAGCACTGGAATGACACTCTCAATAAAAATATCTTAAAAACATTAGACAAAAATATTTTGTTTGAATGAATCACTAAGCTAGCAAGAAAGGGAAAATTTTCCAAAGGCTAAAAACAAATTGAAAGGGGAAATCTTGGGAAGTAAACAAGCAGGGAAGCCAACTTCTGCCCTGAGATGCCTGCAAACCCTGGGAAGCTGGATTTATAGGTTTGATGGCTGCAGGGTTCACAGAGCAGGCAGTTGTCATGGGGTTGATCTGACCTATAGAGACCTCATGTGTGTCAGAGTGGAACTGGGTTCCACAGGACTTTTAATGGCTGATTTTTCAGAAGTTGATGCCATCTTTTCTTCCAAGGCTACTCTGGGTAGGCTTGAACCTCAAACCTTTCAGTTAGTAGCCAAGCACATTAACTTTATACTGCCCAGGAACTCTAGTGGGATATCTCAGTGGAGGCTCTTACATAAAGATAGGACATAAAAGGCTACATGTTCCATAGGAACACGAACTAGAGGTAAACCTCTCATACAGACAAAGACAACAAAGAAACCAGCTTGTCTGATCTTGCCAATGAGTTGTTGTTGTTGTTGTTATGTGCCGTCGAGTCGAACTTGACTCATAGAAACCTCTCCCTGGGTTTCCGAGGTGGTATCACTATGGAAGTAGACTGCCCCATCTTCCTTCAGAGGAGTGGCTGATGGGTTTGAACCGCCAGCCTTCTGGTTAGCAGTCAAGTGCCTTAGGCACTATGCTACCAGAGATCCTTGGCAATGAGTAGCAAGAGAAAAAAAAAATCTTCCCCTTATATATGTTTTGTCTTGCAAACATGCTCTCTGTGTAGTCAGAAAAGCATATTACAGGGTCAAATATAATAGAAGGTGGTCTAGGGTTCATAGTGTCTCTAGGCAGCCTGCAACTACCAAATCCTCTCTCAAACAAAAACCAAACCCACTGCCATCGAGTCGATTCTGACTCATAGCAACCCCTCCTTGGGTTTCTGAGGTGGTGTCTCTATGGCAGTAGATTGCTCAGTCTTCCTTCCGAGGAATGGCTGGTGGGTTTGAACCAGCCTTCTGGTTAGCAATCAAATGCCTTAGGCACTACACCACCAGAGCTCCTAAATCCTCTATAAACGAATGCAAATCTAACTCAAGCCCAACTGATTAAAGCACCACAGAGTATAACAAAAGATGATCAGTATTAACTACAATAATATTTGATAGACTTTAAGCAACAAGCACTATTAGAGATAAAGAAGGTCACTAGATAATGATAAAGGTGCAGTTCAACAGAAAGATCTAAGATTTTGAAATCTGAATGTACCTACCAATATATCCCTGAAATGGATATGAAACCAACTTTGGTAGAATTATCAGGACATTGAAAAAGTCACTAATAGGGGGACATTTTTAACAAATTTCTCTCTCAGAAATTGTTAGATTGACATGATAAATAGTTCTCTTACCAGCGTCGTGCAAGGTAATTAAAATTAAACTCAAACTGGCTCAACACATCTCCTCCTATGGTATGAGAGAAATATTGACATTTGGTAGGTTAGTGACAACATACAACACAAATTCTCACAATCCAGATCATCAATTCTTCACATGGTTACATGTTTCTGTTCATTGTTTTAGGTAAAGTCATGTCTTTTTTAAGAAAAAATAGATTTTTTAAGATCTCACCTAGTGAAACATATGAAGTAAAAAAGAATCATCCATATAATCAAAGGCTTTTTTTTTTCAACTTAAGGTATGACAGGGTATAATGATTCTTTTAAATAAATGCCACTCACTACCTACATAATTGGTATATTTAAAGGTAATTTATTACAGAAAAAAGATGGAATTTACCAATTTAAAGCTAATGTATTAGGAGACAATAGCTAATAAATTCTAATCCAATATAAAGATAAAGTGTTTCTAAAATTTTGACACAGGTTAATGGTAACATGTAATTTTTGTCAATTTCTTTATAAAAAAATGACATAAATACAACTTTTCAGAAATACATATCTATGCTAAATGATGTATACTTGTATTCTAAACAAACTGCAATATTAAAATAAAATAAAAGCCAGTTCATAAAGGTTAATGGCAAGATATGTTTAAAAAAAATACATATTTAAAATGCAGAAGTGACTTCATTATAGGTGAAATACAAATACTGCAGCAGAAAATTTGATGTAATTTATCAAGCAGAAAATAAAATGTAAATAAACAGTACCAAAATCACCAGTTGAATGAGCCTCAGAATAGGAGTTGTGGAAATCAATCTGAGAAAGAAAGAGAACCATCTGGTATATATCACAAAATGCAGCCAAAGCTCTTACTCCCAAAAGCAAAAGAGTACTGGGGAGATTTAACCCAGTGAATTGCTGAGAGTATGCACAATAGATACACTCAATTTTCATGCAAACATGTATTCAGTTTAAAAATTATATTGGCAGCTGAGTTATATACTAAATGTCATAACAAATAAAGCTATTGCAGACAATTATACATTATAGGACATATACAAAATCTCTACTGAGGCCAAGTTTACACTACTAACAGAATGAAATTACTATCAACGAAAGATGAGGAGGGACTTCCAAGAAGTAAGTCACCGGGTAAGATCACAATTTTCAATTTCTGGATAGTGTTTTTTAAAAGAAAACAAACAAACAAAAAAGCAAAAAGCCTGTAACTACTATTTTTAAATAGTACCAACTGGAAGGCACTAATTTGTTTATTAAGAAACAAAGGTAGTCAAAACAGTTGAATAAAAACAAAAATTCTCAAATTTATTGGTGACTAGGTCAGAAAATCACACCCATCCCTGTATTCAGTGAACATCATTGTGGATGAATTTATCCAGCTAACAGTTGTTGTTGTTGTTATGTGCCGTCAAGTCGGACCCGACTCATAGTGACCCCTCCTTGGGTTTCCGAGGCAGTATCACTACGGAAGTAGATTGCCCCATCTTCCTTCCGAGGACCGCCAGCCTTCTGGTTAGCAGTCAAGTGCCTTAGGCACTATGCTACCAGAGCTCCCAAACTAACAGGAAGATGAATTAATAGGAAAAGATGGAAATCTAATCCAAAACACTTTGGGCAAGAAGGTCCACTAACACATGACATCTGAATGATGACATCTGAATAATCTGAAATTGTCCTTTCTTTAGAAGGATCGGTTGTTGATCCTGAGCATGACACTATCACTCCCATGAAGTCATAAACCATAAAGAGAGGTACTCACAGCTCCCATTGTCTTAAGGAACCCTTGTTCAATACCCAGGCTATGCCAACTGACATCTGCCACCATGTGAGAGGCAATTCCAAACAAGAAAGCTACCAATTTCTCCGTGTCCTGCCAAAGAAGCAAATTGAAGTCATGTATGTTTGGGTTATTTTATAAAATCCTATAAAAAGTTTTAATTAATATGAATTAATTTCCATTACCTCAACTTAACAACAACAACAACAAAAATAATCAGAGGCAGGTACACTATAGTTTCTGGCAACCAAAAACCACGTAGGAGTTTTTAAAATGTTTTGCCATGTCTTGGAAGATTAAGCAGTGAGTCCCCTTTCCCCACTCCCACTCCTGGTAACCACTAATAAACTTTGGTCTCTATACATTTGCTTATTGCTTCCAGATTAATTACTATTGGAGCAAAATCACCACGTGGCAAAACTCTCTTTAAAAAAAAAAAAAAAAATCTGTCATATATGTCTATCTGTGTGTATTTAATTTTTATTGTTATAAAAATATAAAGAACACAACATTCGCCAATTCAACATTTTTCACATGTACAATTCAATAAAATCAATTACATTAGTCACATTGTATAACCATCACCAATATCCATTGCCAATTTTCCATCTACATAAACAAACTAAATGCTACCTAAACAGTGATCCCCCTTTCCCCATGCCTCCTGCCCTTGGCAGCTACTACTGAACCCTCATCTCTTTACCTTTGCATAGTCTAGGTATTTCATATTAGTAAAATAAAACAGTATTTATTCTTTATGATGCATTCAAGGGTTAACCAACCACCCACCATGCCTCAAGTGCTGGGTTTGGCACTGGAGGTACAATGGTGAATAAGCCCTCATTGAGTCTTGGGGGAGGGTACAAATGGGATAAGGGCAGGTGCAAAAAAGTCCTTGTCAAGCTTAGTATGGAATTATTTTAGGATTAGAGAGTCACGCCTACCTTCTCCCAGGGAACGGGATAATTCTCCCGGATGTAATGAATGCTTGCATTAAGAAATGGAGTCCAGTGGGTGCTCTCAGACACTTCATGATATTTTCCTGCCAAAACAAAAGCAGTACTCAACAACAACAAACAGCATGCTGCCGTTGAGTTGGACCTGACTCATAGTGACCCTGTATCACTACGGAAATAGATTGCCCAACCTTCCTTCCGAGGAGTGACTGGTGGGTTTGAAACTCAAGCCTTCTGGTTGGCAGTCAAGAGCCTTAGGCACTATGCTACCAGAGCTTCTAAAGCAGTGCTCAGGATCTTTTATTTAAAAGCTAGAGATTTTCATTAGTCAACCATAAAGAGAAATAAAGTCCCAATACATGCTACTGCATGGATGAACCTTGAAAACATTATGCCAAGTGAAATAAGTCAGTCACAAAAGGAAGAATGTTGTATGATCCCAGTTACATAAAGTATCCAGAATAGGCAAATGTATAGAGACCAAAGTTTATTAGTGGTTACCAGGAGTGGGAGTGGGGAAAGGGGACTCACTGCTTAAGGGACACTGAACTTCTGTTAAGGGTGATGGGAAATTTGGAAACAGACAATGGTGATGGTTGCACAGCATGATGAATGTAATTAACATCACTGAATTGTACATGTAAAAAAATGTTAACATGTCAAATGTTTTGTTACATATATATTTACCACATTAAAAAAAAAAAAAAAAGTTACCTGATATGGAGGTTAAGAAAACAAAGTTGGAGATTCTCAAACAAATATTCGCTAAACCAGATCTCCAGTATCACCCACTACTTACTGCCTTCCTTCTCCTCTCCCCTTCAAACCCTTTAGTTTCTTTGGGCAGAGTTCAAAGGAAGTCTCTAAGACAGAAGAAACTCACTGCCATTGAGTCAATTCCAACTCATAGAGACTCCCATTGGGTTTCCAAGGCTGTAAATCTTTACAGAAGCTGACTGCCTCATCTTCTTCTGCAGAGCACCTGGTGGGTTTGAACCACCGACCTTTTGGTTAGCAGCCAAATGCATTCACCACTATACCACCAGAACAGAACAGAAGAGAACATCTGTTCTGATCTCCCTAAAACAGAAGATCAGGTTGAAATTTTGGAATCAGCATAGTTCTGTCTGATGACTAGAGCCCCACAGTAAGAAGAAAGAAACCTAAAGGGGCTCATGGCATCTCTATCACTTGGGCTCAATAGAGGCTAGATGGTTTTCCATTTCTGTGCCTTAAAGCTACGAAGGGAGTCCCTGAATGGTTCAAATAGTTAACATGCTCTGCTGCTAACCAAAAGGTTGGTGGTTCAATGCCACCCAGAGGTACATTGGAAGAAAGGCCTGGAGCTCTATTTCTTTAAAAAAAAAAAAAAAAAGCCATTGAAAAACCTATTGAACACAGTTCTACTCTGACACATATGGGATTGCCATGTGTTGGAGCCAAGCTCCACAGCAACTGAAACTGGATAGAAAGCAAAGAAGACAAATTTTGTTTTTGTTTTTGTTTTTCAAATCTTCTTTGTCCATCACAGTCACTGTCAGTCTCCCTAATGGCATGGAAAATAGAAGCAGCTACTCCAAAGGCTTTCAAGAACATGAATGTATAACAATTGTTTTCAGACTGCATAGGCCCCAGTGAATACTTACCCAGCAACACCTGACTGGGCCATTGGTGGCCCATGCAGCTCTTTATTCCCACAGGGAGGAAGGAAAGACAGAAACTGGCCTCTATTCTAAACCTCCAAATGCCAACCTGCATGGGGTGCCAAATGCCACTGGGGCAATAGAAAGCAAAACTCCGGAGTTCAGATCCCTCAGTGGTAATATCGGGAGCTCTGGTAGTGTAGTGCCTAAGGCACTGGACTGCTAACCAGAGGGCTGGTGGTTCAAATCCACCAGCAACTCCTCGGGAGGAAAATGGGGCAATCTACTTCCATAGTGATACTGCCTCGGAAAGCCAAGGAGGGGTCATTATGAGTCGGGTCCGACTCAACGGCACATAAGAACAACAACAACAGTGGTAATATTCAGACTGTGTCTTTTTACTCATCAACCTTGGGTTTATCAGCCTTAACAGCCAGCAGCTGCCTGAGTGAAGAAAAAGCCTCCAGCTTCAGTGGGCCAGGAGCAGGAGGCAGACTTTATGTTGTTGCTAAAGTGAAAAACTGCCTAATCAGTTTTAAAGCACTGGTTTTTCTAGAAACTATTTTCAAGGAAATTAACTTGTAACTAAGGAATTTTATTTGCTGTAAAAGTTTTCTTAGAAATAAAATTTCTAATATTTCATATTCTTCAGAATATAGTAAGAATTTAGAATTAGGTATAACCATAGCTCTTTTGGCAAACTTCCACTTAACTAAATGACCAGTGTGGTAGTTAAGGTTATGTGTCAATTTGGCTGGGCCTGGCTTTGAGTGGCTGGGCAGCTGGTTGTAGTTACTCCCCATGGTGAAATTGGTAATCAGCTCCATGGTGGAATCTGCCAAGAGCAGCTGAGTAGCTGCTTTAGGGATGTGATCTGCTTCTGGTATATAAGGAGAAGCTTTGGGAATGGTCTGCAGCTTTGGCATGCTTGAATCTTGCATGTAGCCATGTTGTCTGCCAATCTTGGGATTCTTAATGGACTTGAATCAATGGCCTGCCATGTGGTTTGGTAATATCCAGACTATGTCTTTTTTACTCATCAACCTTGGGTTTATCAGCCTCAGAAGCCAGCAGCTGCCTGAGTGAAGAAAAGCCTCCAGCTTCAGGGGCCAGGAGCAGGAGGCAGAGCTGAAGCCCAAGGTCAAGGGGCTTTCACCTAGCCCTAGAGCTGGCCCTTTGAACTTGGACTTCTAGCCTCCACAACTGTAAGAGAAAAAACTCCTGTTAGTTAAAGCCATCCCATTTGTGGTATTTCCTGTTAAGAGCTCCACTAAGTAACCAAAACAGCCAGGTTGATCAAAGAAAGAACTGATGGGAAGTGAAAGAAAGCTAACTCCCAGAACATGCTGGATGCTGACAGCAAGCAAGAGACTGAACTGTAGCTTACCAAGACTCAGCCAGGCCTGTTTCTCATGCTATTTGTGCCAATTACCCATGTTATTATAATTATAAAATTTAATTAAATATTAGGTAAACTAATGAAATATGAATACAGAAACAATTGCTTCTTTGGGAGCTGGGTATCTAAGACAATTGTGTCCTTTGGAAAGATGTCAAAAAAGTGAATTATCAAAAAAAAGAAAACCCTACTGTTGAATTAGATATGTATGAGATAATAGTTTGACAACAAGTTGAGTCTAGATTCAAATTTCTTGTCATCATCACATATTTTATAATTCTTCTCTTTAATTGACTTTTGTTGATTTCCCAATCATACAATGGTCCCACTCACATCAGATAAGAAGGTATCTATCATTTCTTAAAAAAATTGAAAAATGCTGGATAAATAGTTTGCATTTGTTTTCACAGTACCTTTATAATGAGTGTTATCAGTCTTTTAAAATGGCATTCAGTAAGCAGTTCCTCAAATTTGACAAAAAATATCTTTTAATTTCTTTGTTTCTTGTGTAAGATATAAAGGGACTGTTGAAATATCAAGGAATAGTACTGCCCTCTGAATACAGTATGGGAAATGCTAAACTAGAAATACTAGGTTAGAAACAGGGAGAACTGCAACAAGCAGACAAAATATATTAAAACTTGTGAAAGCTGGTACCTGTGTAAGGTGGAAACCTGTCAGAGAAAGGAAAACTCAAAATATTTTCCACTAAAAGGAGTGATAGAAAAGTGGTAAGAATGCACTCTGTCAAAGGTGGGAAACTTGCAAGATCCAGAAAACAAGGCAGGCCCAGATGGAGTTCCAGCTTTCACTGGTTTCATGGTAAAAGGATTGAGGAATGATAGTTAACAGACTAAAAGAGAAACAGGAAAAAAAAGTTAAGAAATACAAAAACTTAGTTGTCTGGGATCATAACTATAGGGGCAAGTAGCCCTAAACATGTCATTGGTCCTAATGGCATCATTGTGTTCAAAGAATAGGATAAGAGTTCATGACCTCAAGACTTCAAAATAGTTTACAAAAAAAAAAAAAAAAAAAAAAACTTGACTGCCATTGAGTCAAGTCGATCCAACTTTTAGTGACCCCTCCTTGGGTTTCCAAGGCAGTATCTCTACAGAAGTAGATTGCCCAATCTTCCTTCTGAGGAGTGGCTGGTGGGTTTGAACCATCAGCCTTCTGGTTAGCAGTCAATAAAATGGTTTACAGCTGACCCAATGTGCTGGATATCTTCTATTGTTCCCTCAGATCCTCATTCCATCCTTCTCCACCCTGCAGGTGACCTGTTTCAACTGACTTCTTTGCCTTCTGGCATTTGGTTGGGTTGTTTCTGGCCAATGGGGAAAACCAGCAGGAGAGGGAGGGAAGAACTAGGTATTTATTCTCCCCAGCTCCCCTTGCGTGGAGTCACAGCAGGCTGGCTGTGTCCCTTGACTGAAGCTCCAACTCCTGTCAAGAGGTACCCTCCTTGTAGCTCTCTGTTTGTAGTCCCAATAACCACTCCCTCTCTGTCAAGCCCACTAATGGTCCTGATTTACTGCTCCAGTACTGCACAATCCTTTGTGATTTCCTTATATTCTGGCCACACCTTTGTAAAGTATCCCTTTGTGAAACACCCTTCAAATGACTCAATTTGAGTGTGCCTTCTGAGTCCCGCTGTAGTCATAATAGTACAACAACTCAGTTACTGATAACACTTCCTTAGATTGGCATAACTCTTGACAAAATACTACCCAATAATACCAACAACAATCTGATGAAGAGGGAAGGCAGGCATTATTATTATTATTATTATTTTAAAAATAAATTACGGTCAAGTCAATTCTGACTTATTTGTGTCAGAGTACAACTGTGCTCCATAGGATTTAGCAGCTAAGTACTTTAACCATTTTCACCAATACAATATTATTTTACAGATATGGAAACTAAAACTCAGTGCACAAGTGATTTTTCCAAGGTCACATGTTAACAGGAGATACAGAAGGAATCAATACTCTGACTTTTCAATCTCTTGAAAAAGTTTTCTCCTTTGCTATGAAGTAGGAGCTCTGGTAGTGTAGTGCCTAAGGCACTTGACTGCTAACCAGAAGGCTGGCAGTTCAAACCCACCAGCCACTCCTCGGAAAGAAGATGGGGCAATCTACTTCATAATGATACTGCCTCGGAAACCCAAGGAGGGGTCGCTATGAGTCGGGTCCGACTAGAGGGCACATTAACAACAACAACAACATGCCGTGAAGTAGTAGAACAAGTAAGGATGCTTAGAATTGTTTGCATCAAAAATATATTTAAAATTTTCAGAAATTTACATGCTTAAAGAAGTAAATTTTAGTCAAATAGAAAGAGCACTATGTGAAATAAGTCTTTGACCAACAAAAATGGAAAATACAATATGCTGTTATATTTATAAAACTCATAATCATCCCTATTAGCCAAGTAAAAGTGACATTGTTTGGTTTGCAAACCTTAGTCTTACCTCCTTTGCAGATGCTGGGGTAAAAAGAATCAGGAAACACAGCTCCAGCCTGATATGCATCCTGGTGTTCGAGTAACAGCTGGGGATCAGGAAAATAGAGAGATTAAAGGACAAGAATCAACAGCCTAGAAAATGCAGGCCCAGTCAATTTCCACCTATGGGATGCTGAAATTCAGGGGTTGTGGGGAGGAAGGAAAGAAGGGAAAAAGGGAGGATGGGAGAGATAGAAGCAAAGAAGGAAAAGGGAAAGGAGCAGAAGAATAAATAATAAAAACCCATGCATAATTCAGGACAATATACTGCAATACATAACTTCAGTTTCTTTCCTACCAAACACACCATTCCTATCACCACCCACAGCTGTTGAGTCAATTCCAACTGAAAGCAACCCTATAGAGCAGAGTAGAACTGCCTATAGGGTTTCCAAGGCTATAAATTTTTGCAGAAGCTGACTACCACATCTTTCTCCCTTGGAGCTACTGGGTTTGAACACCAGCCTTTTAGTTGGCAGCCAAGTGCTTTAACCACTATACCACCAGGGCTCCTTTATCAAGCACAGACAAGATATTTAAGAAATAGCAAAAGTCACTTATTTGAATTTCACCTTTTATTTTCTCTGTCCACCCACTAGAGCCATCTTTCCCTAATGCTACTTCACTTACCAGATCTGAGTTTTCATAAGATTTTCATTAATCCTCATTGAAATGAGAAAAATTCAAATAAGTGAGTTTATAGTTGCTCCTCGTGCTTTAGCATAAGATTATCTCCTTCAAGCACTGGGAAGCTTAAAAAGAGAAAAAAGTATTGTCCCTTTCTAAATGATGTGATATCAGGTGGTGGATGCTTTCTTTCAAATGTTCTTCCTTGGTAGGCCAGCTCATTCAACTCCATTTGAACTCTCTAGTGGTATGCCCAGCTGCTTGCTAACCAGTGACTGTCAAATCAGTTCCAACACATGGCAGCCCCATGTGTGTCAGAGTAGCACTGTGCTCTATATGGCTGATTTTTCAGAAGTAGATCCCCAGGCTTTTCCTTTGAGGCACCCATGAGTGGACTAGAACCTCCAACCTTTTGGTTGGTAGCTGAGTCAATTAACTCTTTGTATCACCCAGAATCTTCATGCTAGAAGCTAGAAAACAAAAAACATTTCTGAGATTTCCTTAAATCTTAGGCTCTGATATGGTTCAGCTTCCACCATAGAGCCCACTTCTACCTCTTTTGTGTCTTTAGTTGGCATAGAAGGTTTGGTTTTTCTGTAAATGTGACGGCAGAAGCCCCAGGGTTTGCTAGCGAGGAGCTTGACTGAGGTGATGAGATCCCAGAGTTTACTGTTAAGGTGGCTGCTTCTTAATTCCCAAACTGAGCATGAAACAATTGGACCTGGAGCTAGTAAATGCAGCAATACTCTTTGATCATAGCATGGGTAGCAGTTCCTTGGCCTGCCAGTCTTGTATATTGTTCTGGGAGTCCTTTCTGGATGCTCATCCTAGAGCCCACTCCTCCAGTGTTCATAAAAGATTATAAACATTGAAGTCCCAAACTTCTGGTAGTAAACTGCTCTCTGCTTAAGCTAGCCAGAATGGTTTCCATTATCTACAAGTGAATTCTGATTGATACCAAAGCAAAAACCAAACCAGGTGCTATTGAGGCAAATGTGACTCGTGGCAACACCATGTGATTCACAATAGAAATGAGCTCCATAGGGTTTTCATGGCTGTGGCCTTTTGGAAGCAGATTGGAGGTCCTTCTTCCAAAAGGTGCCTTTTGGTAGTTCTGATCAACTAAACTTTCAGTTAGAAACTGAGCACTTAATCATTGCATCACAATACAATTGGAAAAATAATAGTTTAGCAACCAACTTGTTTTTTCTTTCAATATGAAGGTATTAGTAAGTGGACCACTGTGGTGCAATGGGTCGCTTAAAAGTATATAAAGGCCTTTCTAGCCATGATCTTGTAACTTCTACCAAAAATTGGGCAGGATTATGCAAATAAGGTGCTTATGACCCAGGAATGCAAATAAGGTGCATGGCAACCTTGTGGGGGTAGGACCATGAAATTAAGGTGTATGGGACCCTATAGAGGGAACTGCTTAGTTTTTGTCATTCTACTAGGCTTAAAGTGACATATCCCAGAGATGGACATTGGAGACCTGACTACAACCAAGAAGAAGAGATGGGAGCAGAGTAAGTCCTTTGGACCCAAGGTCCCTGTGCTGGGAACCTCCTAGACCCAGGAGACAGAGAGCTGTAACACTGCAGATGGCAAGAAGCAGTGGCAGAGAAATAGCAGCAGCAGTGACAGCAGAACCAAGAGTCAGGCAAGAGATAGTGTGGCGGGCTTCCCAGCTCACAGAGCAAGAGAGCTGAATGCCTTCAGGCAGGAGGCTCACTAACGGAGTGGGGTGCCTCCAGGTTCCTGACAGAGTTAGCCTTGACAACCCAGGGAGTAGAGCAAGAAAGCCGAACACCTTCGGGCCAGGGCTTAAGGGCAGAATGGGGTTCCTCCAGGCACTTACTGGGAATGCTAAAGAGCTGTGTAACAATTGCCTGATCAGGGCAGAGGCTGGGCCAGCTCAAGAGGCTCAAGAGGCCCAAGGGGTCAAGGGGCCAAGGGCCTGAGGTGCTGAAGGTGAGAGAGAGGCTTGCCTGTTGGCACAGCTGAGAAGAGACTGTCATGATCAAAGAACTGTATCCTGAGTCATTTCTGATCCTGAATTATAACCTATTACTTCCCTAATAAACTCTATAATCATGAGCATTGTCTGTGAGTTCTGTGTGGCCACTGCAATGAAATACTGCAGAAAGGATGGCTGGTGTCAGAATTGGTAAATAAGTTGAAGACAGGAGGCATGTCTGACCTCCACCTCACAGGAATCAGCCTTGGGCTAAAGCTGGTGGTGATTCTCTTTCCCCTTCACAAAGTTAGAGGTGGTCAGATGCCTCTACCATGCCATTTTTACAACAAAAATACTTTTGTTTGAAGGAAACAAAAGTACCTCCAAAAAACTTAGAAAATAAAGAAATACAGTCATTTTGTTAGGTTTTTGTTTTGTTTTGTTTTTTAATTTCTTTTACTTCTGACCAGTCTTCCATTCCCCTCCTTCTAGAGAGACGAATTCATTCCATTGTGGCTAGGTGGGGGTGGCCACAGGTGTAAATTCCCACTATACCTATCTTTCACCACAGTCTTTGGCTCAAAGATGCACACTTGATCAAAGCTAGTTGAGTCAGAATCTTCCTCAAGACCTCTGAGCTAAAGCTATGGGAAAAACACCTTCTTTTCTTTGGGGTTGGTAAGCTTTGAAGCTAAGAGTCCTGAGCTGTGGGCAACCTACTTGTATAGAAAGAGTGCTATCTAGACCCTGGATCTAGCTTTTCCCCTGGGCAATGAGCCAAATGGACCAGTAAATGGCCCTTTTTCTAAAGATAGCTTGAATTTGATTTTTGTCACTTGAAAATAATAATTAACTTTATTAAATATTTACTTTACCAACCCCTGTTTAATGTGTATTCAAACTTGAACGTGCATGGTCTAGTGAAGTACATAATATTATTTTACATAACAAAATAATTCTGAAGTAAATTTGCAAAATAAATGCACCAAATAGTCTGGAAACTGCTGGAATAAAAAGAAGAAAAATGAGGAAGGATGTATCCTTCAGATATAAAAATGTATTTTTAAGCTAGAGAAATTAAAATAGCATGATACCAGCGCCAAAAGAGATAGCTAGATTAATGAAACATAATAAAGAGTACAGAAGCAGGCTCAAGCATACATAATAACTTAATATATGATATACCAAAAAAAAAATGCCATCTAGTCAATTCTGACTCATGGCAACCTCACGTGTTACAGAGTAGGACCGAGCTCTGCAGGGTTTTCTTGTCTGTAATCTATATGGAAGCAGACTGGCATGCTCTGTTGGGTAGATTCAAACTTCAAAACTTTAAGTTAGTCATTGAGTGCAAACTGTTTGTACCACACAGGGACCTTCTTAAATATGACAGAGATGAGCAAAGGTTTGAGTAGTCAGCAAAGAGTGTTGACATAACACCAACAACTATGAGTGTACCTAGCACACATGCTTAGCTGTGTGGACTGAAATTAACATTATCAATAATACTATTGGATCTGTATCATGCCTCATGCCAAAATAAGCACAAGATGTCTTATGGAGTTAATTGTTAAAAGTGGGGTCATAAGAACCTTTAAAAATTATGCTGAGTTAAATAAGTCAGTCATAAAAGGACAAATATTATATGATCCCTCTTAAACAAAATAAACAAATGTATAAAGACCAAAGTTTATTAGTGGTTATCTGGGAGTGGGAGGGAAAAGGAAAAAAACCATTGTTTAGGGGACATTGAGTTTTTGTTAATAACGGTGGAATAATTTGGAAAAGGGAAATGGTGATGGTTGTACAACGTGATGAACTGAATCAATGTCACTGAACTATACATGCAAAAGATGTTGAGTTGGCAAATGTTTGGCCATATGTATTTTTGCCCAAATTTTAAAAAAAAGAAAAGTAGAGCCATAAATTAACCAGATGAAATTTAAGTCAATAATTGTAACATTTTCGAGTGCGTAGCATAGAGAAATTATTGATGGATTTATCTACATTATATATATATATATATA